GCCGGGGGGCGGGGCCGGGGCGGGGCCGGGGCCCGCGGCCGACCTGGCGGTGCGGCGAGACCTTTGTTCGAACCCAATCAGTCGGAGAGTGAGAGAGCGCCGCGGAGGAGAGGAGAGCCAGCGCCACAGCGCCGCTGCCGCACCGCCTCCAGGCCCCCAGTCCCCGGGACCAAGCGGGAACAGGAGGGCGAGAGCGCAGCCAAGCGCCGGCACCCTCTGCACGGTGCAGTGCACGCCCCCGAGGGCCCCGCGGTGGGACACCCTGGCCGTCGCCGAGCTGGTCCTGTGCTCCCCCGAGACGCGCGGGCCGCGCCTTCGGCCGTGCTGCTACAAACGAGCCGGTACTGCAGCGCCCCGCCCCGCCGCCCCGCTTCGCCCCGCCCCACCAGGCTCCCATGGCTCCGGCTTTCCGAGAAAACCTTAAATGAAGTCTTGCGATGCGAGGCGAGAGCAGCAGCAGCTCCCCGCCGGCGGCAACCTCAAGGAAAACCTGTGGCCCGTGTCCCGCCGCTGGGGTCCTGGACAGGACGGGCCGGGTGGCAGCCCGAGCGCCGGCAGGACAGTGCGGAGCGGTGGCGAGCGAGCAAGCGAGTGAGTGAGTGAGCAACTGAGTGATTTGCGCTGCAGGCTTGTCAATTGGCCGGTAGTCACCGTCGCCGCCGCTCTCCGCGGTGCTGAGCTGAGCTGTGTGCGAACAGAGAGAAGAACCAAGGTGAGTCGGCTTGGCCCAGGCCACGGTCTGGGTGGGCAGTCTCTCTGCCCCCCCCCCTCCTTTTTCTTCTCTGTCTCTCTGCCTCTCTCACCCCACCTCTCTCTTTTCCTCTCACGCGCGCCTCGACTAAACTAATTTGTGCGCAACTATTGACTGTCAAAACAAGGGTCTGTTATTCTGCAGCAGTTCTGAGGTCCTGGAGGAGAAAAGAGGGCCGGGGGAGGGGCGTTAGGTGGCGACAGCAGTTCAAGAGGCGATGACAAGCGTGTTCACGTCTACCGGCTGACATATCTGTGCCCGCCTGGAACTACATACTGCCTGGAGGCCGCCGATGGGATGCCAGACACGTTGCTGTCACCGCGTCTCCGTTTCCTCCTACCCGACGGCCCGACGCGTCCCACCCCGCTCCGCCCCGCGCGCACATAGCAGTGTCTGGCTGTGGAGCCCCCGGGCAGTAGGCAACCCCGAGTCCTGGCGCGCGCGCCTCCGCGGCGGGCTGCCTACCCTGCGCGCCGTGTCGTGTCCCGCTCGCCCCGCGCCCGGAGTTGCTGCAGTGTGCTGTGGGAATGAGCCTCTAGAATGTACCGCCGCTCTGTGCTTCGATGTCGTGGCCACAATTGGGCCACAAGCGGCGATGGCATTGGCCTGTTATGCGGATCGCCGGGGTGCGTGTGTGTACTTGTCTTGTCTCTGCCCTGCCGCGCGGCCCCCGGCCCCCGCCTCGCCCCGCCCCCCAGGGGGTCCGTTTTCAGCCGTCCGGGCCGGACGGCGTGCACGCGCACCGGGCTCGCACAGAGTGTGCCTCTCCGCTCTTCATAGAATTCAGTCGAGAGTACGCCGAAGGCGCGGCGGCCGCCCGCTGCTGCTGCTGCCAGCCGCTGCCGGAGCCGGGGGAAAGAACGAAGAAGAGCTCTCGAAAGATGTGCTGCGCTGCCGTGTGGACTACAAAAGCACGGACCTGGCCCAACGCGCACGGCGGGCATCGTGAGTAGGACGTGTCGGCGCCGCGGAGCGAGACGAAGCAGGGCGGGCTGAGGTAATTCATCATCCCACGCAGTTATCGACACCCGCTGGGGCGGGCGCGGGCTGGCGGCGCGCAGGTGCATCCATCACTTTGGACACGCGCGGCGCAGCACAGCGCAGCACAGCGCAGCACAGCGCCGCCCTTTTCTTTCTTTAGAGAATAATTAACGGTGGGGGGCATCGCGTCACGGGGAGCGCCTTTGGTGCGCCTTTGGTGCGCCTTTTATATTTGAGCCGCTGCTAAACGAGAACATGAGGGGGGAGGGGGTGATGACTTGTCCAGAGTCTCCGCTGCGGTCGGCTTGGCCGCGTGCAGCTCCAGGGGACCGCCCCGCGGCAGCTGGTGCGGGCCGCTATTTTCGGCGGTCCAAGACCACCATGCCACCTCCGTACAACGAGCATTGCCTCGGGCCGCGCGGGGCAAGCAGGTGAAATGGGGAGGGGGAGGGGTGTCAGTCTGAACAGCACGTCCGTCCACACCCCGTCGCGGCCGAGCTGCGAGTAAAAACACTCTCTCTGACATGTTCTCACAGATGGAGAGGGTCGCGCTCCTCGTCGCCTCGTGCGCGTGCTGCCTCCTCGCGGCCGGCGCCGCCAACCACACCAGCCAAGAGCAGTCCGGACACGACCTCCAGTCGTTCGCACTCATCAGGGAGCGCGTCCGGGACGCCCTGAGCACGGGCGGCGCGGGAAAGAGCGCGCGCAGCATGGACGAGGCCGAGAGCTCGTTCCTGTCGTGGCTGCACAGCGTGCGCCACTCGCCGCAGGACGGCGGTGGGCCGGCGCCCGCCTCCTCCCCCGCCACCGAGAGCACGCCCGCGGCCGCCGACAGTTCGTGAGTCCTGAGGGTCTTCTGGAGTCCGAGGCCCTTGCTCGCGAGGTCGGCCCTTGACCCCGGACCTGCTGTCTGCCCCGCAGGTACGACTACGACCAAGTGCTGCGCCTGTCGCTGCTCTTCTACGAGGCGCAGCGCTCCGGTCGGCTCCCCGCCGACAACAGGGTGCCGTGGCGCGGCGACTCGGCGCTCGAGGACCGCGGGCAGCGCGGCGAGGACCTCTCCGGAGGGTACTATGACGGTGAGGACGACGGGGTGTTGCCGGCGGGAGGGCACCGAGAGGACCCCCAGGGGCAGACGAGTGACAGCACGACATGTGTTCCGCAGCCGGTGACTTCGTCAAGTTCAGCTTCACGATGGCGTCCACGACGACGCTGCTGGCATGGGGGCTGGCCTCGTACGCCGAGGCGTACCGCGCGGCCGGCCAGCTGGAGGAGGCCGTGGGCGCCGTGCGCTGGGCCGCCGACTACTTCATGCGCTGCCACGTCTCGCCTGACGAGCTCTATGGCCAGGTGGGCGACTTCAGCCTGGACCACCGCTTCTGGGGCCGTCCCGAGGAACTCAACATGACCCGGCCGGCGTATAAGATCGACCGCGAGCATCCTGGTGAGTTGTGATGGCCGTCTCGAGTCGAGGGAACGGGGGCGCGAGCGGGCAGGAAAGTAGCGAATGATCGTGCGAAAGGGTTGTAATCGATTCGGCTGTGGCCGTCAACAGGAGGGTGCTATTGGTCGCCTACCTCGCCGGCGCACACTTCTTTAATAATCTTTTACCTGTATCGCTCCGTTGCGGAATCCGGTGGAAAACCCCCCTCGGCATACCCTCTTTCTTGTGCTCAGAGCATCGGCGCGGCCGCCCCCGTGACGTCGGTAGTGTTTTCCCCGCGAGTCACGAGCGCGTTCGATGAAGTGATTGAGGAGATAATGACGGCCGATCGGAAACACGCCAGGGCGAACGGCTCCTTCGGCCGCCCTGGACTGGACGACGCCAATTATGGCGATATCGTTGTCAATTTCCCCACAAGAGAAACACGGTGTGCGTCCACGTCCCCCGCCCCCTGCCCTCCTTCCATACGCCCTGAGGCGTACGCGCATTCCCCTCCCCACAACCACGCAACTCGCACGAGTGCCTCCTCGCGGCCCCGGCGCCCGGCGGGTAGGCAGCCCAATGCGCGCCCGCGCCCGCCTGACTGTCGCGCTGCTCCGCAGGCTCGGACCTGGCCGGCGAGACGGCCGCCGCGCTGGCCGCCGTGGCGCTGGTCACCAGGGACTCGGACGCCGAGTACTCGGCGCGCTGCCTGGAGCACGCGCGCCAGCTGTACAGGTTCGCGACGCAGCACCGCGGCCTGTACCACGAGGCCATCAAGGGCGCGGCGCAGTACTACGAGTGAGTGCCATTCAGCCCGAGGGAGGTGTTCGTTGAAGGCGATGGCTGTCCTTGCTCACCCCGGGCGCACCCCTCTGCAGGTCCACGGACTACGGTGACGAGCTGTGCTGGGCCGCGGCGTGGCTGTACCGCGTGACCAAAGAGCCCCAGTTCCTAGACGAGGCGGAGCACCACTACTCGCAGTTCCTGCTGCGCGACCGGCCCGTCGAGTTCTTCTACAACCGCAAGTCGGCGGGCGTGCAGGTGCTGCTGGCGCAGCTCACGGGCGTGCACGAGTACCGGGAGGCGGCTCGCGCCTTCTGCGACCACAGCGCGCTGCATCAGAAGCGCACCCCCAAGGGGCTGCTGTACGTGGAGAAGGCCGGCACGCTGTGCCACGCTGCCAACATCGCCTTCGTCTGTCTGCAGGTGAGTGGTCGGTTCTGGAAGTTAGGGTGCCAGCGGCGGCACTGTGTGTGTGCTGTGAGGTGAGGGTGTCGGTGATGACCGCCCGGCCCGGAGAGGGCTGCTGTTGCCGCAGGCGGCTGACGCCGGCATCAACCCTGAGGTGTACCGGGACTTCGCGCGCCACCAGATCCACTACATGCTGGGCGACGCTGGCCGCAGCTACGTGGTCGGCTTCGGCTCCCAGTGGCCGACGCAGCCCCACCACGCCGCCAGGTAAGCGCCTATAGCCGCTGGGCTCCTCGACAAGGATGCAAGTCCACCATTTCTGACTGTTGGCTGCCCCCAGCTCTTGCCCGGACCGGCCAGCGGTCTGCGACTGGGCGGACTTCTCCAAGAAGACACCCAACCCCCAGGTGCTGTACGGCGCGCTCGTGTCCGGGCCGGACGAGAACGACTTCTACGAGGACGTGCGCCAGGAGTACATTTACAACGAGGTGACGCTCGACTACAACGCGGGCTTCCAGTCGGCCGTGGCCGGTCTCCGGCACCTGCAGCTGCAGCATGCCAACGCTTCAGGTACCACCAGGCCTGAGGTTCCTGGAGCTTCGCATCCCGCTGACCCCGTGAAATAGAAGCTGCAGGTGCAGTGAACTGGAGCGATGGCCTCCGCTTGGACGTCACCGAGTACAAAGCTGCTGTTAGAAGGTGAATGCAACAAATGTCAGGCTGTGAGTTATACTCTGTATGAGCTGGTTTATGTTTTTGTATTTTTGTTTGATTCCGAAAATACATAGCATCTCTTTGGTATCAAACAGTAACGTCATTTTGTTTAAAACTTTCACAATGATCACAAAAAAAAGAAAAGTCACCGCGTAGAGGTTCGGCCTGGGCCAAATACGAAACCGACTAAATCAACTCGATTCCAGGCGGAAACCAGTTTCAGGTCGTGGCTCCGCATAATTGCTAGGCCGAGGGCAAGACGGCGCTGATTTGCTGCGACGCACTCAAAACGCAGCACCAGTGAGAAGAAGACGGTCGAAATGACGCCAGCCGGCGTTCAGTCGAAGTCCAGCTTCCTGAAGGAGCCCTCCACTCCGAAGATGGCGTCGCTCGACTTGGGCCGGCCTGGCCTCTTCTTTTCGTCGCTCCGCCTCTGCTCGTCGGCCAGCAGCCAGTCCCGGTGGCTCTCCACCTTGGTCTTCCACGCGGCTAAGAGGGGCGCGCAATGGACAGCGTGAGAGACAGTGACTGACACACATTAGATAGCGAGCCGCTGCTGTGCTGTACCGCATGCAGGCGTGCGGGCGGGCCACCTACCCGCACCCCACCGAGGCTGCGGCAGTGGCGGGAGGCGACCCCAGCCAGCAAGCCTGCATGCAGAGCTACGAGGGGATCATCCAGAAAGTACGTCCGGTCATTCGTCGTTACGGACTTTTGCGAAGTTCAGCCTCTGCAAGCTCCCACGGCGCCTGGTAGGCAGGCAAGATCTAGTCTGGCGTGCATGCGTGTACTGCGGGGTGGCCTACCCCGAGTCTCGCAGGCGCCAAGCTCCCGTTCATTGCCGAATGAATCTGAGTGAATCGGACGTGCTTTCTGGACGACCCCTCAGACACAACAAGTGGACTCACCAGCGAGCTCCGCGATGCTGCCGGCCTCACCGCCGTACTCCGTGGGCAGGCACTTCTGGGGGATCTCCTTGTACAGGTTGTCGATGTTGTTGCCGTGCACCGATAGCTGTGGAGGGTGCAGCAGAGCGATTACACTCACGGCGTGGCCTCACGGTTAGCCAAGTCAAGCGGTAGGTCCTACCACTGCGCGTCTCCATGGGTCGCTCGCTCCCTTATACTCACCCGCTTTCGTAGCTTCTCCTTCATGAACGACTTGATGAGGCCCAAGATGCTCTCGAAGGAGGACGGCGCGTACACGTAGTGCATGCCCTGCGGTCTGACTGGGTACGCGTCCTGGTACACGGTGCTGGCCCTCTTGAGCAGGCTAGGCTGTACCTGGGCGAGGTGGCCCAGGGTCACGCCTCGCATGTCCATGATGAGCACGTCGCCGCAGATGATGGGCCTGTCGTCCTCCTGCGGGCAGAGAGCGGAGGGGGTGAGATACGGGTCGGGAAGTGGTGGGATGGTTTGCTTCAACCCCGAGCGTCTCGCGTCGCGTACCCTCAGGGTGATGTCCATGTTGATGTAGTTGAGCTTCATGATGTCTTGGAGCTTGATCTTGGACGGGTCGTAGTTTCCTACTCGCATGAGGAAGATCTTTCGTCCCTTCGGGTCAGGGTGGGGCAGCGGGAAGCAGATCCTGTCATCACAAAACTGTAAACGACGATGTGCACACAGTCTACCTGCTGCAGCTAGCTGCTCGAGGCGGGTGGAAGCACGGTGGAAGTCCCGATCAGCTCGTTGATCCCGGACCGGACGTCACATGCTCTGCTCACCCGAGGTTGAGGATCTCCTGCATCTCGGGCAACATGGGGTCTCTGTTGGTGAAGAACTCTGGGAGCAGGGTGCGGAATGTGTAGTAGCTGTCGATCTTCTCCTTGGTGCGCTCCAGGGAGAACTTGCAGCCGCGCAGGAAAGTGAGGATCCATTGGTCCTCTGCACGGACCGGGCGTGGGGTGGGGTGGACGCGACAGGGGAGGGCAAGAAGAGTTATCGTTGCTGTTTGTTTCACCACGACTCACCGTCATTCCAGATGGGACTGTCGCTCACCTGTGTTGGCGTTGAGGTGTCCCTGCTTCGACAGCCACGTCTTGATGGCGTTGATGTCTTCCTGCCGCCGCGCCGGGTCCTCGCCGAGCTCCTGCTTGGCCCTCTCCTCGAGCTCGGGGGTGAGTTGTCGTACAGCCATGCTGCAAACAAGAACAGAAGCCATCGTCGACGGTTACAAAGCGGGCGTGGGTTTTGTGGATTATGGACAGCCCCTTTCAGCTGTCTCGTTGGAACTTAGGATATTTATCCCTCTTCCCACCGTTGCAATCAGTCTAAATGGATCGCCTCTTCCTGTCGCGAGACACTCTGGCCGCCCCCTTACGTCAATCGGACCGTGCTATCCTATCGGCCACTTGAAGGAAAGCCGTACGCCATGTGCGGCAGCTGCACCGGGGCACAAGCGGCTGCGCGCGGCAAGCACGAGAGCTTTGTATTTCCTTCTGCTCGCAGAATATCGCGAGACGTTTTTGGAAGGACTTGAAGCGAATGATTAAAATCGCACCTTGTGGGCGCCCTTTGCCGTCCGCCACGCGATGGTGCACGTGGGCCTTGACCCACGAGGGCGAGGACCACGCGGTGCGCGCGTCGCTCTATTCCTCGGCACGCCCGGGGCAGACAATGCCACGCACAGTTTCGCGCGCTCAAAGTGAACATTTTTTTACCCCCC